GGGTGGGTGTGTTCTCACTGCATGGACAGGTTATATATGTGTGTGTATGTGTACATATATGTGTGTGTGTGTGTGTACATAAACACACAATTTTAATTTTATTTTAATTGCTTCCTCATGTGTTTGTTCTTTAGCCTTCGTTTGACTTATGTGGGGTAAAATTATATGTGGATAAAATTACTTAATGCCTTTTATATATAGGATTTGAGTTGTTTTCATCTTAAATTTGTTTGTTTCTTTGTACCTTGGTTTTTGTTCCTCTTCACTCTGATCCCAAAGTGATAGTCAAATTTTCATGTTCTCTCTTCATTATTTTATTACTTTTATTTATTTTCATTCCTCCTCTTGGATAGCTATAATCTGCTAATATTTCCTGCCTCTCCTCTGTTCACTTTTTAAATATTTCAAGATTTCTCTTGCCTTTATATTCAATTTTCTCTTTACTTGAAAACTGTAATTCCACTATCTGATAGAATGGCATAGTTTATATCATTTCTATTCTATTACTGTTGTGAGTATCAATAGAGTGAGTGATGTAGCAGACACCTGAAGTTTAATATTTGATTAGGTTCATGTTGTTTATTGCTGGTGCCGATGCTAAATGATAACCTTACCATTCCTATACAGGTGGCAATTAGTGGTAGAGATGCCAAAGTAGACACCAGACATTTATCTTCAGGCTATACATCTGTTGGTAACAATATCACTACCCCTGACTCCCCTCTTCCTCTCAGAGTGGATGGAAAGTGATTAGAAACCTTCAAGTTCACAGAGTAGAAATTTCTGCTGTTGAGCAATCCTCACAACTCAGTCAATTAACAGCAAACCCCACTCTACACATAATCTAGCTGTATTCAAGCCTCAACAACATTTCAACACATAGAACAGAGGAGACAAAAACCTCAAACTAACAACCAGGTCTCAAGTGGAAAAACCAGAGAGGGACCTTGTGTCTCACTCCTATATATCTGTTTATACTTTAAAACCAGAGAGACGTCCCAGAACATAAAATATAGCTGCTTACAAAATGACCCATGTATAAATAAGGAAGGGAAATCCATGTTAATTGATCACAAATCTAAGACCTCTGAAAATGGAGTAAATGGGCAAACAAATCTCTCCACAATATTCAAAATACCCCAACAAGGGATCCCAAATGGAAGTGGATGAAAAAATTTCACAAAAAGACTACAAAAAACTGAGTATTAAGATATTCAATGAACTAAAGAAAGATCAAAGGAATGAATTAAGTAAAGAATTATGAGAGAGAAAAGATCATTTCAATGAAGAAATAGAGATATTGAAAAGAAGCTAATCAGAACTCCTAGAAATGAAAGACACAGTAAATCAAATTAAAAATTCACCTGAATATCACTGGCACAGTGGCCAAATGCCTGTAATCTCAGAAGGTCTGGGTGATGGAGCAAGAGGATCACAAATTCAAACCCAGCCTCAGCAACTTAGCGACACCCTAAGCAACTTGGAGAGATTGTCTCTAAATAAAGTATTTTAGAAAGGTCTGAGGATGTGGATCAGTAGGTAAGCATCTCTGGTTTCAATCCCTGGTAACAATAACAACAAATAAATTCACTTGAAAGTATCACCAACAGGTTATGTTGGTGAAAAATGAAATTCAGGCCTTGAAGGCAAAAACTTCAGGCCTTAAAGAGAGTATATGTAAATTTGAATATTCAGTATTCAATAAAAGGAAAAATTAAAAGCTCATGATCCAAATATATAAGAACTCTGGGATAGCATTAAGAGAACAAGTATGAGAGTCTTGTAATAAAACAGGTTATGGAGATATAGGTGAAAGGCATTAAGAACATTTCAGTGAGACAGTAGCATAAAATTTTCCCATAGTAGAAATGAGATAGACATTCACATACAGAAACCCAAATACACAAAACCCCAAATAGACAAAATTAAAAAACTAAAAGAGAAAAATTTTATGTCAAATTTAGAGTCAAACCAATAAGGCTCATTTGTGACTTTCCAACTCAAACTCAAAAATCAAGGAAGGCCTGGAAGAAGATATTCCAAGCTCTCAAAGAAAATAATTGCCAGCCAAGATTGCTATATGCATCAAAGTAATCTTTCAAAATTGTTGGAAAAAACTTTCCATGATAATGATAAATTTAAATAATTCACAACCACTAAGCCAATACTACAAAGAATACTCAAAGATTTACCACATATACAGAAACCGCAAACGAACCCCAAATTTCCCAAATAGATGAAAATCATTAGAAGAGTAACCAACTAAATGAAAATAAAGACAGGATTAAATATAGTAAATTAACCAAAATGGCAAGAAACAACAAAAAATCTAACCATAGTAACACTGAAAATAAATGGTCTTGACCCCATAATTAAAGGACATAGATTGGCAGAATAGATTAAAAAATAAGATCCAACTATATGCTATTTGCAACAGATTCATGCCATAGACAGACATTCCATAGACTAAAAGTAAAAGGATGGAAAATAATTCCATTTAAATAGAGTCCAAAAATAAGCAGGAGTAGATGTTCCCAAACCTGATAAACCAGATTTCAAGCAAAAATTAATCAGAAGAAACAAAGGTGGCCAATACTTACTGATGAAGGTAACAATCCAATAAGAAGTTTTAGAAATAAAAAATATATATGCTCCAAAAACCAATGTACCTAGTTACATAAAAAACAAACACATAAACAACAACAACAAAAAAATCTTTCTTAACATTAAATACCAGATACAAACAATAATAATACTGGGTAATTTCAACACACACTTGTCACCAGGAGTCTGATCACACAAATACAAAATCAGTGAAGATATTTTGACCCAAATAGTACAATAAATCAAATGGACTTAAAGATGTCTACAGAGTGTGTCCTCCAAAACAGATGAATTGACTTTCTTTTCAACAGCTCATGGAACCTAGACCATATTACAGGACACAAAGTATTAGAAAATAAAATCTACATTTGGGGTTATATAAGGCTCCTGTATGTGAATGTATGTCTCATTTTTAATATGGGGAAATTTTTATAGTACTGTCTCACTAAAGATGTTCTTAATGCCTGTTACCTATAGCTCCTTAATCTAAAATTCATATAGAAAAATAAGTAAGAGACTCAGAATAGCTAAAACAATCCTGAGTGGTGTAGGATGCATCATAATACCTCATCTGAAAATTATACTACAGAACTAAAGAAAAATAGCACAGCATTTAATTGGCATCAAAATAGACATGAACACAACTGGAATAAAATAGAAGACACAGAGATAAACTCACATATGTATAGCCATCTGATACTTGACAAAGGTGCCAAAACTATGTTGGTGAAGAGATACCCTTTTTAACAAATGGTGCTGGGAAAACTGGATATCCAAATGTAGAAGAATTAAACTAAAATTCTTTTACTCTGTACAAAAGTCAAATTAAAATAGATTGAAGACTTAGGAACTAGAATAGAAACTGAAAATTCTAGAGAAAACATAAGCCCAACAGTCATATTTTTTCAGGCATTAACTTTCTTAAGAAGAACCCTAAAGCTAAAAAAAAAAAATCCAAAAGTCAGTAAATAGGCTCTCATCAGATTATACATAACAAAGGAAATGATTAAGAGTATAAAGAGAGATGGGAGATAATCTTTAGCACTACTCCTTTGATAGGAGATTAATATCCAGAATATATAAAGAACTCAAAAAAGTTTAACACCAGAATCAAACAATTAGTAAACAAAGAAAACAAAACAAAGAACACAATCAACAAATGAGGAAAAAAAGATCATATAGAATTTTTTAAAAGACAAATCACCAATGGTCAACAAATTATATATATATATATATATATATATCTCAACATCTCTAGCAATCAGGAAAATCAAAACTGCACTAAGATTTCATCACACTTCAGTCAGAATGACAATTATCAAGAATACAATAATAAATGATAATAAATGATGGTGAAGATGTAGGGGAAAGGTGACTTACACATTGTTAGTGGAACTGCAAATTAATAGAAACAATTTAGACAGCATTTTAAGATTCCTTAAAACCTAGGAATGGGATCACCATATGACCCAGATATTCCACTTCTTGGTATTTTCCAAATTTACTAAAATCATGATACTATACTGATATAACCACATCAATGTTTATAGCAACACAATTCTCAATAGCCAAATTTTGGAACCAGACCAAATGCCCTTCAATATGTGAATAAGAAACTGTGGTGAATATACACAATAGAGATTTTTGTTATTGTTGTTTTGTTTTGTTTCACTGTACTTTCTTTTATTATCATCATAGTTTTTGCATTGAGATACATTTCAATAAGAGCAAGTTTCTTTTTAAGCTTATTATTAAATATTAAATATCTTTCCCCAGTTTAATTTTACATTACCAAGAAAAAAAATTAAAACTCAAGTTATTTAAAGTCTGGACACACTTCCATGATTAGACAGGCTATGTAAAAAATTGTGTCTTTTTTTTTTCCTGCTATGTAATCAGTTCTAGGCCCTAGAAAGATGGGTTATAATTGTTTTTGAAAAGCGTGTTATGAAAATAAATGGCCTGTTATAAGCCAGGTTATAAAGTATGGACAGGGGTAAGGGAGGGACGTTTTCTTTCAGAAATAAACAGAATTTCTGAAGAGTCCCAGTCCATAATTTTTTCCTAATATGGTAGAAGGAGAGGGTAAAAATCTCAAAATGAGCTTCGAAGTACTGTCTCTGTGAGGGACCAGAAGTTGTCTTGTTGAGGAGGGTGACTGCCAAGAAAGTAGATGACTATGTTGACCCTCCCCACCCTACCCAGCTAGGGGAATGGGAAATGAAAAGTTTATTGCCCTGTGTCTGTGAAAGTGAGCTGAAGCTTAAAGTGTACGGAATTCTCTAAAAGGTTTCTTCTACAAACAGACAACTCAGAGACTCTTCCTCTTGCTGCAGCAAAGAAGTTATTTTTAGAAGCACTTGGGAAATTCCTCCTCCACCTCAAGGTGGGAAGGCTCAGAGAAGGGAGTCATCAGTACAGCCACCTTGCAGGCCATAACGGAATTCCTGAAGGTTGGAGACCCCATAGAAGTGGGCAAAGGTTGCTGCCACTACCAGGATGTGGAAAATCTGATGGGACTGGAACCATATGTCAAACTTCCCAGGAAAGAAGCGCTCAGGAATCCGAGCAGCGTAAAAGCCGGTTCCGGCGATGTACATTATAGCCATGAGAAAGAACCAGCCCATCTGGCCCACTGTGATGGCCTTGACAAAACCCTCAGCCATAGTAAAGTGCATGGCGGGCACAGCACCACTGAGGCCAAGTCCCAGGAACACTGCTGCTCTTGTTTGCCGGTGCTCAGGAGTGGCAAACTGGTCCCACTGTGCCACGAAGATGGAAGAGATGCCCAGGACACAGATGATGGAGAGGTAGATGAGCCGAGGCTGCGGGGCGCAATAGAAGGAGTAATAGAGCCAGAGGACAAAGCCCCCCATAATCAGTAGAGAAATCCCCGAATAGTACAGTTTTGAAAAGGTCTGAGAGACTTTCTCTGAATGACAATAGACAGTGTGGAAGAGCCAGGAGAAGCTGAGGCACACGAGTACACTCAGAAAGAAGATGCCCAAAACCACTTTCTCCTGGAGAGGGACCGTGAAGTACATATTTGGTCGAAGCATGGTCAAGATTCCCCAAAAGAGAAACAGCACGAAACCAAGCAGATGGGTCCAGATGTTGCCAGTCTCTGTGTGGATGCGGAAGATGCTCTTGAAGCAAGCCCGAAAGGAGGGCATGGGTGGTCTGTGGCCATGTAGCAAATAGTTATTGTCCTTCAGCCAGTAAGGGAGCATCTCAAACGGGATGACCCTCCAGTGTCCCTCCCAGACCTTATGCACGAACTCCTCCATCTTCTCCATGGCATGGTGAGCCTGCAGGGGGAGCTTCAGTAGGGGTACCTCCTCCTCTTCTTCCTTGGGCAGTGGGCACGTTTGCCCTTCTTCAGCCTTGTCTGGGTTGGCAATTACCCGCTTGCCCTTCTCTTTGGGCAGAGGTCTCAGCTTAGACAGTTCTACTGAGTTCGTTTGCCTGTTACTAGCAGGAGCCCCATTGCCCTGGGCCACCACTGGTCCTTCATGCGCAGACATCTGGCTGGTACCTCAGTACCCTGCGGCTTCAGCTTTGGAACAGGTTGGGATCGCTCAGCCCCAGGGAGCATAGACCTCCCTGTGATGGCAAACAGGCCGGGTGGGCAGGCTTTGCTGGGCACCGCCGTCCCCCAGCTACATCCCCTGGCCGCCCTGGACGCGCCCTGCGGCCCAGTGGGCCCCAATCTTCAGTGTCCTTCCTTCGCCCGAAGGGGCGCGCGACCACTCGGCGTCACCGCCGCCGCCGCGTCACCTCCGCCATAGAGTTTTAATCAGTTTTAAAGAAGAATGAAATATGGCATTTGCTAGTGAATGAATGGAACCAGAGACCATCATGCCAAGTGAAATAAGTCAGCCTCAAGAATTAAGTGTGTTTTCTAATGTGTGGAAGCAAGAGAAAAAAATGCAGGGAAAGGGGGATATTGGATATCAAAAAGACATAGGGAAGATAAGTGGAGTAGATGAAGGGGATTGAGGGGGACGGGAAGGGGGAGGAAACGGGAATGAATAGCACAAAATCATGCTAAGTGCATGTATAAATATATCACTGTGAATTTTACTTTTTTGTATATCTATTAAACACCAATCAAAAATAAGTGAATAAATAAGTTAAAAAATGTTCAAGAGAGTAGAAGAAGAAGTATATGGGGAGGAAGGTGGAGAGAGAAAGAAGAGTCATGGGGGGGAACTGAAATGGTGTAAATCAAATTCCATTCATCTATGATTGAGTCAAAATTAACTCAACTATCATTTATCACAATAGTGAATTAATAAAAGGGAAGAAAATAAACAGAAGGTCCACCATTGTCAAACAATGTATCTTCTTCTCCACCATTTCCAGGGCAAATTTGCTGTCTCAGAAATTCTTGGTTTTCTAAGTATCTACTGATCTGCCTCAATTTATAACTTGCATTGGGATTACATCCCCAATAAGCCCATCATACAGCAAAAAAGTATTGTGAACCAAAAAATTCACTTAGTTCATTTAACTGACTGAACACAGTCAGTTCAACAGCACAGCACACTGCAAGTATGAGTTTTTTCCAATTATGATGGCTTGGCTACCAGGGACCTGTGGCTCTCTTCCACTGCCCTGCATCTTCTGAGACCATAAGATCAAATATAACTAGCTTTGGGAAAGATCAAAAATGTAAATTTGAATTACATTTATTTATCCTTATCCATTTGTAGACTGACATGTACTTAGGCTGGTTCCACAATGTGGTTATTGTGATAATATACACAATGGAGTTCTTCTCAGATATAAAAAAGAATGAAATTATGTAATTGGCTGTGAAATGGGTGGAACTGGGGGACATCATGCTAAATAAAATAAGCCAGATTTAAAATGTCAAGGGTCAAATATTTTCTTTCATATACAGAAGATAGAGAAAAAAGAAAGAATTAAATAGGGAAATCTTGAAAACAAAGAAGGTAGAGCAATAGAGCAGAAGCAGGGGACCCATGGAAAGTGAAGAGGAAAGAGAAACGGGAAGAACTGGGAAATGGATTTGACAAAATTATTCTATTGGCATATATGACTTTACCACCCTGGGTTCCAATTTTAGATCTAACTCTAATTCACCAATTTAAATTAATAAATAAATAATGGAATAGAGAAAGGGGACCAAGGGAGGGTGAAGGGGAGAAAACAAGGAAGTACTCAGCATTGAAATGGAGCAAACTATTTTATATGCATTTATGAGTATGTCAAAATGAACCCCACTATTATGTGTCACCATAAGGCACTAATAAAAATCATTCAAATTACAGTCATTACTGAATGTGGGTCACTTTGGTACTATTGTAAACTTGAAAAACCATGCATTGAATTATGGTACATTGGGAACTCTATTTATTAAAACACTATGGATAGAAGTATGGCTTTTTTTTTAAGTGTGGTGGTGTGGGATACTGAGAATTGAACTCAGGGGCAGTCAACCACAGAGTCACATCCTCAGCCCTATTTTGTATTTTATTTAGAGACAGGGTCTCTCTGAGTTGCATAGCTCCTTGCTCTTGCTGAGGCTGGCTTTGAACTCAGGATCCTCCTCCTATCTCAGCCTCCCAAGCCACCGAGATTACAGGTATGCACCACTGTGCCCAGCTGGAACTATGGCTTTATTCTTCCAATATATATTGTTATCTTTCCTTAAACTCTAGATTTCTATAGCTGTAAAATTTATCTGTTACATCCTAGAAATTACCCTCACATTTTAGGGCTAGAAAAAAAAATGTAAAATAGATAAGGATTGTGATATCTATTTCCATCAATTCCATTTATTTCTCTTTATTCCTTACTATAAGTCTCTCTTAACCATTAACTCTCTTAATATTTGTAATCACCATAGGTTCTCACATATATTAACAGAGAGAGGTGCTGGGCTCCGTTCCTGGAACATGTTATATGCCCACATATATTTCTTACCTGGGATAGTTTCATGAGATATAACAGTATGACCATTCTTTAGAAAATATTGTGCATAGAATTGTTCTAAATGTTAATGTCTCTTATTTTATCTTCACATAGGTCTTGACTACAATGTTTGTAGAAATTATCTTTGGGATGATCTTAAATATGTCACATTATATACTATATTCTCAACTTTTGAAACAATCTCTTCAACTCTCTTGATTGGTGGAGCACCAGGTTGTCAAGTTTTATTTGATGTAATCCAGAATACCATAGTCACAGTGGACTGGTCAATAGTTGAACAACCACTTACTGTGGGGCAATCAGGTGGCCTGGACACTTACATTGGGAAGCTTTGTCTATTATCTCCTGATCACATGACAGTAAATATGGTGACCTACCATCACTGAATTTCCATATAATGAGTCTGAAGTTTTATATTTTATTACAACTTTTACCTCTTAATAAGAGTTTTGTTGACCCTCCAGGATGAAGAAGCCAAGCAATCTTGCAACTAACTAGAATTTCTTCACACTCCACAGTAAAACATTTTTAAGAGCTGATCTGTTTGAGGTACAAAGCACTAGAATTTTCTATGTATTGCTCAGAAAACTGGATTCATTGTGAAACTAACTTCTGACAAAGAACCAAGTCTTGGTAATAATTTTTCCCCCAAATGTAAGGAAGAATATATTTGTGAAATATGTCGGTAAAACTATTTCATTAGTGGAGATGGGAAAGTTCAAATACAAGAGAGCCAATAGACATTGGGTCTCAAGTATCAGTAGAAAGAGAAGAGTGAAACTAGAATTTATAGCAGCAAAGGATGTTCCAGATTTGTGGATGTCCTGACAGCTGACTTCCATCTTCTGCTGCATTTTATAGTCAGAAGGCTCAGGATCAAGATGGCATAAAGGTATAAAGACATTTATTCTATTACTTTATACTGAAGTACATGAAAATAAATAGCTTTCAGAACTCTCTGTTACAGTTAAAAGATGGAGATAACATATTTATCATTTATATCTCACTATGGTGGGATAAAATGAAAATATATTGTATATTACATTGCAAAGTGCACAAGTGATGTATTTGTCCCCATGCTAGCCATCACCAGCTCTCTGACCTCACCTGCATCTCTCCTGAAGCACTCATAGCTCATATCTAAAGGCGGACTACATCATTGCCCAACCTACGACAGTCACTCTATGCAGTTAAACTCCAGATCCACGTGTGGCCATCTGCAGATTATTCATACATGTGTGATACACAACCCTGAGTTAAAATGAACTCAGGAAAATTCCTCATTATCCTCCATAGATTGCAATCATTTTCTGATGTTATGGTTGCACCACCATCAGAAAGCAGGATCTGTTCATTTCCTTTGCCTATTTATCGATTGGGTTATTTGGTTTTCTATTATTTTTTCTTTTCTTTTTTCTTTCTTTCTTACATATTTATTTAGTTATTTACTTATTTGACATTAAGTTTTTTGAGTTCTTCTTATATTCTGGAAATTCCCTTCTCAAAAGAAGAAATACGAATGGTCAAGAAACACAGGAAAAAAATTTCAACCTCTGAAGCAATTAGAGAATTCAAATTAAAACTGCTTATCCCACTAAGAATGGCAAGTATCAATAAGACAAGTAAGAACAAATGTTGGTGGGGAAAGGGAATGCTCATACATTGTTGGTGGAGCTGCAAATTGGTATAACCACCCTGAAAAGCAGTATGGAGATTTCTCAAAAAAACAGGAATGCCATTTGATGCTGTTATTCCACTCCTTGCCATATATTTTAAAGTGCAAAATCAGCATACTCCAATGACACAGCCACATCAATATTTAGAGCAGCACAAATCATAATGGTTTCAGTATTGAACCATCCTAGATGCCTATCTACAGATGAATGGATAAAGAAATTACGGTATATATACTCAATGGAATATTACTCAGCCATAAAGAATGATTTTATGACATTTTACAATAAAGGAATGGATCTGGAGACTATCATGCTAAGTGAAATAAGACAATTCCCAAAAAGCAAAGATCTAATGTTTATTGCTGATATGTGAAACTAAACCACAATAAAGAGGGGTAGAAGAGAAGTTCAGTAGATTAGACAAAGGGGAATGAAGGGAAGGGAGGTGGCTAGGAATAGGAAAGACAGTAGAATAAATCTAACATAATTTTCCTATTACACATATGAAAATGCCGAAGTGAATCTCACCATTGTGTCTACCCACAAGAATGGGGTCTTAATTAAAATAAGATCTATTCCATGCTTATATAATTTTATGAAAATGGATTCCACTTTCATATATAATTAAGAAAAAAAATAATAAAAAAAGAGAAAAATAATTACCAACCTCTCTAAAATTTATTTATCTCCTGTGGTTTTCATCTTGAGTGATTTAGTAAAATCCTAGACAAAGTCCAATGGTAAGACTCATCCTCAAATTATTTTCTTCTTACTCATCATTTCTATTTGCTCACTGTATTTGTATTTCATAAGAAAAACTTGAATAAATATACTCCTGTCTTCTTCTTTTGACACAGATTACTGTTCTTCTGAACTACTTCAACATT